TTCTTCTATATGCAGAGTTTATCTTGTACTGAAATTATAAAATAGATTTTACAATATCCTGATTGTTCCGATGAGATTATTCTGCTTATTTTCCTGATTTCAACACAAAGACCACCGTGACCTCTGTCAATATCAAATGTTTCTAACCTAAATAAACTAATACGAACACTTATCTCTGCTATATTTGTAATTGATGTCACATTTGTGTCATAAATGATTGTTTGATATTCAGCCATACAGAAAATTACTTCAGTGTATTATGATAAACTAGATTATTATCGTATTTTTGCTTGTGGTATCTCATAAATTCGTGTGATCAAATGATTTCTTCTCTTATTAGTATATAGCGTTTTAAATAACGTCTTGCATTGCGTGGAATGAAATGTGTTTAGTTGCAATCTAAATTCGAATGACTTTGATTAAAAAACAATATAGTTTTCTTTTCTATATTAATTATTAACCCATTGACGATGGAGATCATAAATTTACGTTTTGAAAATTTGAATAGAGGGCGAAGCTGAATTATAGTAAAGCAGATCTTTTCAATACTTGTTCTGTTCTGACATAGATGCCACTGGTAATAGTATTGCATTTTTAAATTAAGTGTAAGTGCAAGAATTATTATCGCTAAAAATTTGCAAAGTAGATCATGTTAATAATAATGAAATTTTACTTTATTCGTTCTAAAAACTAATCTACTGTAAAAGGTTTTTTCAAAAAATATTTGCATTAAGATCATTATAAAAAATTTTTATAAGATTTTTGAATGATTAAAATCGTGACTTTTAAATATGTACCGATAAGGTTAACGACGATACAATAATTCTAAAGACAACCATTTCTAGTAATGCACATCACTATCTTATATTTCAATAGAAGTCTACTGGGATAGCGAGTGACAAGGCAGATACATGTGTGAATGAAGAGTGACATGATTTTATATTAAGAGTGAAATGAAAGAAAAAAGGGAATAAGAGAAAGAAATGATAATAGTACTGAAAAATTTCAAACTTGTGTACGTTTTTTTTTTAAATTGAACATAGTCCCATGCAAAAAACTATAATGAATGAATCTTTTGCAATTGATAATTTAATAAACTGATGAATTTTAGATTGATTACAATGAATTTTTTTCAAAGAACAAGTGAATATTTGTTTGAACGGTTGAAGAAACAAATCTAATAATAAGATCTACGAGTTAAGAAAGGAAATACACTTTTTCTCTCTTGACGACTGAATTTGTCCTGTCTTTGTATTTATAATACAATTTATCTCATCGATATCGTAAAGTTTTTTTTTCTATATAATTCAACCATGCTTTGCCATTGTTACTCCATGTGCTATATCACCCTGAAGCATGAGAAGGACGCATCTTCTTTCGAATGCCTTGTACTATTAACAGCTATTTGATGAAGCACGTAATATGACTCTAGAGCGAGACGCAATTGGTTGATTGCTCTATTCGATAGAAAGAAGAGAGTGCGAGAAAGACATGTTTCTCGTGATGATGTTGTCATTTTTCGGTTTTGCTACTATTTTTAACATGCATTCTTTTCTCATTGTAAGACTTTTTCTTTTTATTAATATAAAATCTTTAACAAAGCCTTCTATGATTAGCTTATCTACATCCGACAAAATGAGAAAGACATACGAATAAAAATCTTATTAATAATTCGCTCATCAATTTGAATGATTTATTTGTAACGTAAGTGTGTCAAAATCTTAATTGATTACTTAGTCATTTTATCATTCAACAACAAAAATACTTTTTTCTTATTCTATATGACATAACTATCTATTTTTTTATATTATTTTCTTCGTTACTTTCATGTTGCACCCTGAATGAGACAGTAATCAACATTAAATAACAAGTAATAAATTACCTTATCATTAAAATCAACTGTGCGTACGAATCTCTATTTGTTATATGATATCTCTTGAGATTAGTAACAAAAAAGGAAGAGAAAGACAAAGAAGTAAAGAGCTTATATAATTTGATTGCCTAAGTGGTGGTTAGCCAAAAGAATTTTCACTGTGACTTTTCTCTTTATGTTTGAATGGAACAAGAAATAAAGTCATATTTATAGTTCGTCTCATTGTTACTCTATGTAGATTTTAATATTTGTATCTCTATGTTCGATTTTCTTATATATAAATATTTCTCTTCTTCTTGCTTCGTCTAATTATTAGTTGAATTGCAACATACATGACAAGCAAAATATTATGCTCGATCACAATCCTCTATAATCTTAGAAGAACATCAATCAGATAGATTTGAGAAGAGAACAACAAGGATGAGATTGATAGATATTGTAGGTTACAGAAACCACAGACAGATAGAGAAAAAGAGCAATTATTTATTTTAAGTAGAGAAATATTACCATGACTTTTGTATTTGTTAATTGTCCATCAATACTAGATATATTTAGTTTGAAAAATGAGAGCAAGTCCTTTTTGACAGTAACATTTACACGCAATATTTTCTATGCTTTAATCTGTTGTTTACGATAATAGATAAATGAAGCTTGACACAATTGCGTGCTCGTATATATCAATCTATTGTAACATGAGTACGCTTCAATTTGCTAAACAAAACTTCTTTTCTTTTGTATATTGTTAAGAGAACGTGATGAAATCAAGCGCATAGCCGACATAAAATGGTTTCAAAAATATTTGAACATTTTCTCGTCATCAATAGACATTTCTCACTTGTTGTTTTTCTAAAAGCTTTGACAAAAAACAAAACTACTCATTATTTCATGTATAATAGAGTGTAATTGGCCATGTCTTGTTTGTTTTCATTGTTACAAATCTTTGATCTCACTTCTATTATTAATATTTTATTAGGTAAAAGGACCAAAACTATTATCTATTTTGTTCATATGATGAGGTAGTATAGATTTCAACTTGCATTTTTTTATTTACTAGATAATTCAATATTCTTGCCATAGTCGATGACATTGCAGTGTAAAGAAAATATGATTGGATTTTTATCGACATGTTCATATGGGATTTACATTGCTTTTAGAGTTCGACATTCTTCTGTATGATCTTGTTTCCCAATATTCTTCTAGTTTTTTTTCTTATATATTAATATCCAGCATTATTCATTTGAAGCAACAATATATATATATGTTAGATTCCGGAATTTCCTAGTATGTATATATATGCAACTGTCGTTGTTAACATATGAGTCTAATGCAAGTCATAAACAGTGGGTAACTAGGTAATAGAAAAAGACATTTAGAAAATGTGTTGCTATTAAAATACTTAATTTTTCTTATTTGCTGTTACATGTTTTTATTCTTTTTGTCATGCGTTCGTATTTCTTTATATTTTGCACGAGGATAAGTAATTAAGCCTCGCCATAACAAAAAAAAAGTCTCAATGGATTAGTATGAGAACGGAATAGGAAACAGAATCCTTTTTAGTTTGCAATTACAATTCTTGGTTAAAGATTGTTTATTCACATTAGTTATCATAAGCGAGTATTTGGCTATTCAATCCTTTGTTTTTCTATCAATTATTCGGCTAAAATTGTATTAGGTTCGAACAGTATTTTCTGCTTCTTTAATATAAACGATTTCATTTAGTTTCTTTTTTTTTTGTAAGTGTATGTATGAAGTTCATAAGAATACGTTGAAATACGAGAATACTTAACATATTTAATCAAGAAATAGTTTCAGCACGTAGAGATTTATTTTTATTAATTTAATCAGAAAAGTTTTGAGCGTGATCACGAAAGCATTATATGTTTTGAGAACAAATTCATAGAGAGATAATTCTATGTATATTTCTATTTAACAACCTTATAAATAAGCGTAGGATTTCTCCTAAAATAACCCACATATATGTCAATCATGAGAAAAAAAACCCAAAAAAAGATTTTATCCTAATAATCTCGAAGTAGCTTATTTCGATTCGAGTTTCGGATTACAATTACAATTAAGATTAAGCAATAGTAATTTTAGTTGTTTAAATACTGTTATTATCATTAAGCCTAATGTAATGATATTATTTTTTCTGAGAACTATTCAATATTTAGGTCTTAGCATCTAAATAATACAAATGTATTATACTTAATTTAAATACTAATAATGCTTAAGTTTTAGTATTTTTTTTTAATATTAGCGTTCATTTCACACGACTATAGTTAGTTTTTAATAGACTGCATATTTAATATAAGCTTATGAATTATGCAGTTATACATTGTCATCATCAGAGGAAGCATAGTCCAGTGCATTCAATTTCCGATTAAGTGCTTTTTCTGTGTGACGGTACACAAAAATAAGTTGAATAGTTATGTAAAATCTGTTGGATAGTCAATTGTGTTTATTTTTCTGCATATTTGATTACTAGATCTTGTTTTTCCTTACAAAATAATATTAAGACAATAATGCGCACAAAGTAATTTTTTAATATAGTTCTCGTTTTTATATTATAAAAAAAATAAAAGACTTCTAATTAGAATGTAAAATCTTTGTAGCTATTTCCATTAACAACACTTAAGGCAATAGAAAATGTTTAAGTCATTTTAATCTTTTTCCTTCTACTTAAACAAAATTCTTTTCTTCTACTGGCTTTTTCTTTTATTTTCACAACTGTCTAGTAAGTGCACCTGACACTTGTATCTTAGGCTGTATTAGTCTGCCCCTATCCCTCGCTTCTTCAATTGAATAAGATATTAAAATGCTTAGAGAAAAAAGAGTGCCTGATTTACAGTAAAATACATCACATTTTCTTGGTGGTAATTCTACTTATATGTTATTGTCATACAGCATAGATTCATTATTTTTATTATTATTTCTATTCAGATAATAGAACAAATTACAAGTTTCTCATCTTAATATCAATACTATTATCAAACATTTGTTGCTTTTTATTTGACAATAATAATGTAAAAACATAAAATGGAAAATAAACAATATTTGATAGCAATGTTTGTGTATATATTTATACTTATTGGTTAATTACATATGACGAATCGATCAATATTAAGATATGTTCGGACTTGTCCATTGTGATGAATCAATTTTAGCACGACAAGCTACTGATCCGAAGCTTTTTTTTGTTCGAACATTAGTCAAAAATTGGCTTTGGCCTATTATAACTTGTTTTGGTAATTCTCATTATTGTTTCTATATGAAAGAAAAGATTTACTCATAATTTAAATATGATTTCTAGAGTTACGAGTTTCGAAAATATACATGCTTACATTTTATCTGAAAGCATACGTCTCGTACTATTAAATTATAAGTTATTGATGAATGTTAAAAAAAGAGTACAATTTTTCGAGACGAAAAAGAAGAATCCTTCTTGATAAGAACAAAAGATAATAATATTCCTATTCTTGTTTAACATAGGTGTAACCGGCAATATTCTTGCCATAATTGTACTTACAAAACGTCGTATGATTATGTCGTCAACAAATAATTATTTAGCTGCATTAGCTCTCGTTGATATAGCTTATCTTACATTAACACTTATACTCAATACATTTCAACATCCATGTTTTACTGGTACTTCATTATCGGCTATACTCTTAACAATATGTCGACCAATAGCAGATTTTTCATCAAATACAAGTGTTTGGCTTACAGTTACATTTACAATTGAACGTTGGGTGGCTGTAACTTATCCATTACAAAGTCGTACATGGTGTACTGTAAGTCGAGCAAGACGAATTATAATAAGTGTTATGTGTGCTGCATTAATATGTACATCACCATCAGCTTTTGAAATGAAACTTGTACGTGTTACTGAAATAAAAAATTTGACCGAACCCAATGAAAAAACATTATTGACAAGCCGTATATGTGCTAAACCAACCGTATTAGGCAGCAGTTTACTATATCATCAAATTTATTTTAATTTTGTTACGTAAGTATCTTCTTTTACGTTTAATCAAAAGAAAAAATCTTCTTGTATTCTTTTTCCGATTCTCGACAGATCACAAATTGTAAAACTTTACTGAAAAAGTTCATTTTTTCTTTCTCGCAAGCAAAAAAATCACTGATGAATATCACTTTAGTTTTACATAGATACATTTCGTATGATAGAAAAAGTGCGTTCGTTTTAGTTAGATAGGCTTTTGAACTGGAGTGAAAAGAATAAAACGGAGGTAATAGAATCTCATTCGAGATATAACAACATCCGCTATTAGATAAGTACGTCATATAATTGAACCTCCGTGATATACATGTTTAAGTGCAATATTAGACTTACTGACCTGCATTATTGTAAACTTTTTGTATCTCTAATTTGTTTCAAAGTACGCAATAGTCATCTAAAATAATTAATTTAAAGAATTTTTCACAAAAGAAAGCATGCTAGTTATTAAGGTTCGCCACCCCCCCCCCTCCCCGTCCCCTCAAGAATCGATTATGAAACAGATATATTCAAATTGGATGAAATTTTCGGCATATGTTTGGGGTTATAGTGGAGAAATGATGGTAAAATGTTGAACCCTGTACCATAATGTTGTCAGTAGATATTCAACGAACAAGAATCAAAAATAGCTCGTGTAAACTCAAAATTCTATATATTTAATTTTTTTTGCTTAAAGAAGCATGTCAGAGCCTGTTTTTTTAATTATTACTTTTTAAGGAGAGGAAAGGGATGATAAGTTCAATGGATCGAAAAACTCTCAAAAAACAAAATGCGTTCTAATTTTAACAATACTCGTTTATATAATAGAGAAAAGGGATTAACATGACCTACATATTTGACATGCTCTTTCAAACAGAAAAAATAATCAGTAACAGGGAAGCTCCTTCGAGAATTCTGAAAGAGCATAAACAGAGAATAAACAAAAAAACGATGTCCTACTTTTTTTGTAAAACAGCATATTTTTTAAGCAGATGATGGGATAAATCATCAAAAAAGGAGACGTCGAATAAAAAATTCATGTCACTTCTGAAAGATCAATTTTCAGACCAGTGATGAGCGAGATAATCGTTTTTGGTCCTGGTCTGGGTCCCATTCAGAAAAATTCTCTCTCCTGGTTCCGAGCCTAGTAATACCTGTATTAACGAAAAATATGACCTCATTTTCTATCAATATCAATGAGTTCGAGATATCTTGCACGACCAGCATGACTTTTAGTATTCTCCCTCTTGGATATTCGTTAGTTTTTTGTAATTCACTAATACTTCGTCTATTACGCACATCGATGTGTTCGAGAACTTTCCTATTTAAGAAAAAGAATAGGATTAATTTTACTATCAAAATTGTAACAGCAAATATTGAAGTCATGATTACACAATAATTTCTGAGTAGTGAGGATATAACATTGAACGAAAGTTTCACACGACCATAAAGAATGTCAATTTCAATGAAAAAATGTTGGTCCTCATCTCGGCCAAAAAAAGACTTTGCCACAGCTCCGACGAGATAGAGACCATATCGTCCATATTACTTGGGATTATCCTCCCATACATTTGTCTTAACTTCTATGATTCTGACGAAAATGAACTTTTTTTAAGAGAGGACAAAATGATTATTTTACAACTTTGATCGTATTTATTCAAACATATGCATTCAATAAATAATTAGAAATTCATGAATATTAATTTTAATAAAAATGAAAGTTTATAATTAAATAATTGAACGTTAAATTTCTTATCTAGAACGACAAAATAAAATCAATTGTAAATTTGTTTTCTTTTTCTATAGATTTGCTATTATTTGGATACCATTATTATTTCTTGCTATTTTTAATACAATTCTAATTATTCATGTTCATCGTTCAAAACAAAAAGAACATCGAAATAGTGAAGGAATTCAATTACGTCGACATAATCAAGGAAGCCAAGGTGAACAAAGAAAAACAACAATTATGTTAAGTAAGTTTTTAAAATACTTAGAATAAAATATTATTCGTTATTTTAAAAATTTAAACTTTTAGTTGCTGTTGTTATTGTATTTACTGTATGTCAAATACCGCAAGCAATATCTTTAACAGTTCAATCATTTTTTCCTATATTATCTCAAGCACCAAAAGTTCTTATTTATAACAATTTTGCAAATTGTTTAGTTGCTTTAAATGCTTCAATAAATTTTGTATTATATTGTTGCTTTTCGGATCGATTTCGTTCAACATTTAGTTCAAATTTTTCGTTTTTAAGTAAATATTGTGCACCTTATGTTGTAGCCAATTGGAAATTAAAACCAGTTAATAATAAACATTCAATATCCATTGATAATATGTCATCTAATTATCTGGATAATCATTCAAATTATTCAGTACATGGACAAAGTACAAATCCTCGTTTATCAAATATGAGTTGTGAAATGAATCAAAAACGTTTAAAAAGATCATCGAGTAATCATTCACACAAACAATCACAAATATCAAATCAAAACCCACGATCTTGGGCATCAACGTTATCAAAATTTAAATCATATAAAAAAGAAAAAATTAGTTTGAAACAAAAATTAATAGAACAAATAAATGAAACGGTATGAATATTTTAATTAAAAGTCTTCTCAATTTTTGCACAATTAAACATTACATATTCATTTAGTATCATGAGAATGACTATACATTATTTATATTCGTTGTATGACTCTACAATAGGTTATAATCCTGTAAGACATTGAATGAATAATTATTTTTTTTTAATGAATAGTGAGTACATGTGATGTAAGTGAAATTTAAGTAGAGTCTATTTTCAAAGAAAAAACAATGATATTTTTTTAACCAATTGACGACTGAATATACATCTACTATAAACAGTTATATAATGCATGCACTCTATAAACCAAATATTTCTAAATGATAAGATTCGATTTTATTACATTATTGACAGACAAAGAGATAAATGGAGAAAATAGCTGTCACAATATCAAAAATGATTTCATATCAAACTTAAACATGGATTTTCCTGTACATTAAAAAAGAAATAATATTCGACAATAACTAATTGTATTTGTATTTGTCAACTTATGTTTGAATTTGGAGCATGAGTTTTCTTTTGAACTAAATCGAAATAGATAGTTTGCAATTTGGTGACTGTTATCGAAATGCAAACCATTTATATTGTCTTTGTCCAAGATCAAATTAAAATTACATTTCATGCCTTTGGATTTCTTGTACTTCTAGTAATAACTTCATTTTATTTATTAGAAGAAGATTAAAAATAGTTCATTCATCTTTATTCATTTACTATCTATGTGTGTTACATCCAAAACATCTCATGAGTCAATTAAATAAATATATAACTTTTTATTTAGTATCCCAGTTCACCGGTAACAACTGTTACAAGAAATTCATCATTATTAGTTCCACAATCTCCTCGATCAAATATTTCAACAACTCGTGATATTACATTTAAATATTCTCCTGTAGAACCAAAACCAATATATACATCAATTATGTCTTTTACAAATACAAAAAATCCGTCAAAACACTGTTCATCATCATTGTATGTATTAAGTGGACCAATTTATATAGACTGTACAACAGACAGATTAAAAAAAACATTTAGTGTTGGACCTCATTGTAAAAGAAAACCAATAACATTTCATTCACAACAATCGTTATATGATAATAATACAGAACAAATTTGGATAAAACGTCATTTATCCAATAGTACTATTGAAAAACATTTCGATCAAGAAAAACCGCTTTTATGGAAAGAAATAAATGACATTACTGTATAAATATTTTTGTTTTTATTTATTTGGACACAAAGAAATTAAAAAAAAAATAAATTAATCTTATCAAATTTTTTTCAAACATATTTACACGTCATTCTATTCTCTTTTTCCGTTGAATCTAGATTGTTATCATGGTTCATTACACAAGTTAAAAGAAAAATTTTCACTTGTCACTGCCATGACAATTTTTCAAAGAAGTAATCTGCTAAAATTACAGAAGCGTTATCAATATGATAATAGAAATGATTTTCGAATTTTATTATTTATTTTTTAATATAAAAGATGTTACGTATTTTACTAACAGAGTTTGATATGAATCAAGTTTTCGTGAGCAAACTCGAGTGGCTAAATTTTTCTCCTGTGATATTTATTACGAGAGAACATATCCAATTGTTGAATGTTATTCGACTATATATATATTACGGCTAAGAGTATATCTGAATGAGACTAAGAATCGATTAAAATATTTGAGTTTATGACTTGCTAATGAAAAGTGATGTCGGTTTTAACGACACTTTTACTGAGGGTAAGATATTTTTCAAAAAACAAAGATTTTTGACGTAAAATTTGGTCTATAGACACTTATTATATAGTGTTGAAAGTTTCAACGGAAATAAACATGTCTTTCTCAAGATAATCAATTTAGAAGAAAAAGAAGTCCTAATTCACCATAGGAGAATACGACAATCAAATTTACTTGAAAATTGAATATTTCGAGAAAGACTTGTTTGTTTTTGTTGAAACTTTCAGGGTTATTTGATCGGTATCTATAGACCGAATTTCAGATCAAAACTCTTCGCTTTAAATTTTTCTGGAATGCCTTTCTCTCAATAACATTTTCATTAAAACGGTCATGAGTCTTCATCAGTAGGCCATGCATTCGAATCTTTCTAAGATTTTGTTAATGACGCCAGATCGGTGTCTGGCAGTTTAATAGTGATGTATTTTCGACTTTCTGAAGAATCGTTGTCATTTCTATCATCTTCCCTTAGAAATCTAAGAATTTTACAAAAACCGAAAAAGTCGTTTTTTTTTTTAATGAATTTCGATTTTTATGATACTCTTTATTTTTTAAGAAACAATCATAGAAAATTCGGCTACCTCTCATTTTGTCCTCTTTAAAATCGTATTGTTAAGAAAAATATTTCTGATATCTGAGAACTAGCCTGTTCGGTTTTTTAGAAACTTTGCCATCATTACAGATTATTATTGTCCTTAAATAGATTTAACATGTAGATAAAAAAAAAAAAACTTTATCTAAAATTCACAAGCAAGTGTTCGAAAAATATTCTTTCGTCATGATCATCATCTGTTTCATTGTTTTTTCATTATATTTAAATGTTCTCTCGGCTCGATAACAATCATATTCCCACGAGATAAAGCAAGCAATAAAAAAAATTCTTGATTGAACATAAATATAACCGTCATAATGCGTGATAATCAGTGATATTGATCGTTTCTCAGCATGGGTAAAAACAACCTTCCCTATTCTCATTATCACATATGAGTAACTTAAAAGAAAAATATCAAATGTGAACTTTATTGAAGGTCATCATGTTCAATTAGAAGAAATTTTTTTTCTTCTCTCTCTCTCTGCTGTGCTGTTACTATTAAATCAGCGATTGGTTCGAAAGAGAGAAGAACAAGCAGGTGTTGTTTTCTTATTCATTCTCTCATTTAGATTTGAATCGAATAGAAGAACGATAGAACATTTGATTAGAATACATATCTATTTATTATCCATGATGTTTTCTAATACGAATATTATCAATTAAAATGATGGATCAATCGACAACAATTATGAAACTTTTTCGAACACTTCAATTTCGTAAACATGTTAAAGGTAAATATAAAACGATGTAGTTCAATTTAAAAAAAGAAGAAAGAAACCAACTTTGATAATTGCTTTTAAATGATTTTTATCCCTTAGGGTATATTACACAACAGATTGACAAGAGAACTTCTTTTTTTGTTTTAACATATAAGAATCAATATTTCTTTTCATTTCTCATAAAATATACAGATGAGATTCAACACATAACATGTAATTTTATTCATTCGTTTCTCATAGCCTCAAGCATATCCTGCTGTGAGCATAGAAATATACTCTATCTGATATTCATTCATTCATTCATTTATATAGAAAAATGTGGACTGGTTGTAACATTCTTAGTGAGTTGAAATGTTTTGATAATCATTAAATATTCTTTCTGTTGATGTTGTTGTTGTTGTTATTCACAAAGAAAACTCATTTTAATTACATATTCATATGTAGATATGCAGTCTTTTGTAAACACGGACATCTGTTTCATGAAAAACAAAAGAACGCGTGAATGCGGAAATAAAGAAACAAAAAAAGAATTTAAATATAAAAGAGACGATATTTAAACAGTTTTTCAAGAGGACACTTTAATTCGGAAATGATTGAACTCAGCAGTTAGTCATGCATTAATGTCAATCGTTTGATCTTTTGTTTTTTTTTATCTAGAACTTACAAGTGCATGCAAACGGATCAATAAAGATGCTTGCTATGAATTTGTAACTTATCGTCATGCTATTCCAGACACATTAACAACACAGAAAAAATCAACGAAATTTAATAAATTAGTATGATGTAATGAATCATATAAACTATTATCTAATTAATTTTTTTAGCGTTCAAAAATTTATAATTATAAACAAAAAAGTAAAAGTACATGTCGTTTATCAACTCGTATAAGACCAAAAACAGAATGTTCATCATCAACAACAACGATTCATAATAGTGAACAACCATTGGAACATTTGACACGTGCTACATCAACATCACCAGCTAATTTATCTATGATTGTAAAACAATCATATAAACCTTTACATGCTAAATCAACACAATTTAATAAGAATACAATTGCTGTAACGAAAGGTATATTGCCACTTAATTCTATTTGAACAATTCTTACGATTGTTTGACTAAGAATTTTCTTTTTCCTATATAATTGAACTACCACTGTTTAATTGCTTTCGTTTTCTTTTTGACACCTATATTTCCGTTTTATTTCTTAAGATGAACAATACAATGTAACAATCATCGTTTAAGTCAATATTTTTTTATATTATTATATATCTTTGTGTATAGACAGGTAGAAGACTAAGCCGATAATCAAAGACATTTAGACATATAAGCGTTATATTGATTTTATCCACCTTGAATATTTCTTTTGGTTGAATACATAATTGGAAACAAATAAAATATTGTTTGATTTCATTTAAATGTCTAGACATTTGTTATACAAATGTAAAAAAAATTTAGAAAGCATAAATGTGATAAATTTTAATTTTTTTTAATATTGTTCATAGAATATACCTTGAAAAATTGTGTCAATAGTAATAGAACTCGTCGGGCTTTGATCGTCTGTGAAATATGTAAGGTGCACTAATCACCAAATACAAAAAATCGGAAAAAATTATCTCATATCTTCGATTCGACTATCCAGTTCGGATTAGAAAATTTCATTGAAAGTATCAAAGTATGGTTTGAGTATCCGAATCCGACAGGATCTAATGAGAAAACAAGAAGAACGAATAGCTGGGAAAATAACAGCAATGACATGAGTATACAATGATAGTTATAGAGATTTAAAGATTTGATATACTTCATTTCTATTTGAACAATTGTATCAGAATAGAAATCTAACATGCTATATTTTCTACATAAAATAGATTGTATCATTCATATGTTTCCCATCCCATGTTACCAGTGTTTTATCCAGTTTTTTTCTTTCGGATAGACGATTTAAAGCAGAACGAAGGATGTCGTACATTCTGGATAAAACATCGCATCTTACATTGAAATATTTATTTCGATAATAAATAACTATTATATATTTCTTAAGGTACATCTATCAAAGCTCTATATGCTATATCAAATTGGGTATTTATTGAAATTATTGAAACAGGTCAAACTGGCTTTGTACCTATTTATTGTCTACATTTATCAAATTTATCATTAGAAGCTTCTTCTTCTTCTTCTTCTCAAAATAACTTAAGTTTATTAAATGTAAGCATTTATGAAAAACCTCATTCTCTATCAACACCAAGTCAATCTGGTCGATTTATTTCATCTATTGGACCATGTCATTTTAATATAGAACAAGCATCTTTAACTTGTTCACGTATAAATAAATCCGGAACATATACACGTCAAAATAAAGATCAATCAAATTTATCCCGACAAATATCAAATATATCTCTTCATGCTTATGATCATGATGCATATGGAACACTTAATTTAACACCATGTAAAAGTTTATCATTTAGTGTCTTAGATAGTGAACCAATTATATATCGTTCAAATAATCGTTTACGTGTTATGAAAAATTATCAACGACAATTTGTTGGTGATATTAGCGTACTTGAATCAGAAGTTGTTACACTTGTGAATACAACTCAAATAGATAATGATTGGCGTTTTATTCGACGTGGTGATGGACGTCAAGGTTATATACCAAAACATATTGTTGTACCTGATAGAAATTTTAATTAAGAAAAAAAAATTTTGTGCTGCATTTTTTTGTTTTGTATACGTGAGATTTTATTTCTCAAAAAGAAAAGTATTGAAAAAAAGACAAACAAACAAAAAAAAAGAATGAACTTTTTTTCATGTTTAACAGATTTGATATCAAACAAATGAAAAAAAAAAACATATATTCATATTGATTTTTATGTTGATGATGATGAACGTCCAAGCAATTCATCACTAACATCAACAATATGTATTGCATATTGATTAAATGAAGATGATGATGTTTTAATAGTTTTTAATTTTAACATTTCTTCACGAAGTTTAGCTAATAATGCATGATTTGGTTCATTCTTTTTAGCACATCGTACTATATCAGCCAATTCATCATCAACACGAACACGTTTATATGTATCAGCGTTTTTTTCATATAATCGTATTAATGAACCATATGTATGTAAATGTGGATGAAGTTTTTTTAATAACTTTTGTGCAGCTAAAATAG